GCCTGACGGGCGACTGCACGAGGCGCGGCCGCGCACCCTCCTTTCCCCAGGGGGCGCTCTGTCCTGGCGGGGACCCCGGGCGCTGCTTCCTTCCCTCGCTGGCCGCGCTTCCAGGGCCGGGTGGGTGGCGCGGCCCCGTCCTGGGAGGATGGCAGTGAGCCTGTGCGTTCCCCAGGACCTCCCTGCCTGGCCAGGCCCGTGTGTCCGGGTCCATGGTACCTCTTTCGATTCCTTTTTTTATCTGACATTTCTGAGCGCCACCCTTTGCTAGGAATTGCAGTCATTGTCTTGTTCCAGGCCACTTAACGAGAAGTATGGGGCTTGCTAAGGCCAGATGCTTCTTGTGTGTGAAATTGTAGGAAAATCTGAAGCATAAGCCAAGACCGGTTATTTATATGGAAAAGCCACTGGAAACAGCTTGGGGGACCCTGAAAGTTGGGTGGGGCACTGCTTCCTGGAATCAAAAGGGCTAGGCAAACAATGTGATCCCGTTTGATGGAATGTCAGATCGTTAAACCACTTGCTTGCTCTCTGGGGGAAGGGCTCAGAAAAAACAAAAACAGTGGCCTCTGCTAGCACTGTGTCTGGGAGACAGCTGCCTCCTAGCTCTCTTCCTAATACCAGACTTCCCGTATATCTCTGGTGCCTTTCCAGCTACTGCCTCAGTGCTGGTGCTTACAGGGAGTAAATTCAAGGAAGTTGGTGTGTGACTTTTAAGAGAACTCCTTGGTAGTCCAGCCGCGCTCTGTTTCAGGCATCCCCAATGCCTGCTGGTTTTTATAGCCAGAAGTATTGGGCACTTCTGTTGCTGGCGATGAAACCCTGGGGTGGACACCTGGGAGGGGGCTGGGACCCTTTGCTGTTCAGGGGGCACCTCTGCAGCCTAGACATTTCTTCCAATATTTATCCCCCACAGGTGGTTGTGGGACTGACCCATCCTGAGTTTCCGCCCGTTCTACCAGTCTCCGTGTGGCTTTTTCTTTAATTCTGTAGTTGTAGAACTCCCATTCAGCTATATTTGAGAAGGATGGTTGTTCTGTAGTTTAGTGTTAATTTTTTTCTTTTAATCCTCACCTGAGGATATTTTTTACATTGCTTTTCAGAGAGAGTAGAAGGGTGAGAGAGAGAGAGAAATATCTATCTGAGAGTGACACACCGACTGGTTGTCTCTTGTGCACTCCTGGACCGGTTCCAGGGATTGAGCCTGCAACTGAGGTACATGCCCTTGGCTGTAATCAAACCCTGGAACTTTCAGTCCATGGGCTGACGCTCTAACCACTGAGAAAACCGACTAGTTCGTTTAGCAGTAATTTTGATGTGGTTGTGGTTGGAGCCCAGTACTGCTTTCACCTTTGCAGCTTCTTGGCCAGAAGCTCCATTGGTTGATTGTTGTATGCGCTCTGACCAAGAATTGAACCTACAACCTTACCTACCTGCCAGGACCTGAATCAATTGCTGTATAATTATATAATGATTTTTTGTGATAGGT